ATAATAGATAAAAAATAAATATGAAAAACAAGAAATAAAGTACCTACCCCATCTCTTTTTTTCTAGCCCTCGGTTGCCTGATTTTTTTAGTGATTATAGTAAAGCACTTAACAGTTTTTATTTAATTAAATAATACACCAAAAAATATAGACCAATAACATGCAAAAAGTAGACAAATTCACTTCTAAAAAGAGCCGTTACAAATTCATCCAAGCTAGTCGTTATCTTTCCCACGGGAATGGTGTTGCTACTCAGAGTGAAATTGATGGTTATCTGTTCAGAATGCAATGTTATACAATATGCCATTTGATAGATGAAGACCTTGACTTTCTATTGGTTATAGGTAATATATAATGAAACAGAAGAGAGAACTATCAATGTATTGTGAAAGAGAGGAGGTGACAGGTCAGTGTGGCAGGAGTGGTCTGATTTTCTATTTGATAGCTATGTAGCCAAACAAAGTTGAAGGCTATAAAAATTAAGGTCTGTTTGAGCAATAAGATTTTATATAGAGTGTTTTAAGTATAATTTCGTACATTTACGAGGGGTGATAGATAAGATAGGGATGATGACATGCTAAGACAAAATGTGTCACGTGTGTTACACTAGTGGAAATTCAGGATTTTTTAAAAATATTTCCTTGTAGAATTAAGAACTTGTATATTATTAAAATATGGATTATTAGTTAAGATTTTATGCTATTCTAATTGGTATAACATAAACAAAAAGTAGTATAATAAAATTTTGAATGTAAGACACTAAAACCTTGTGTCATGCGCAGTAAAGGGTACCCGGGTTAATGTGGTCTTCCATGCCATCAATTTATCTTCGTTTGAACTACTTTCCTTGTGCTCCTTGTTTCATCTGACATTGATGTTTCATGTACCCTTTATCACCCTACTATCGTCTTTATCCCAATCATTCCATTTTTCCTAAGACCTCAGCAGCTTGGGAGGGTTGTTCATCCTTTTCTCCTATTTCCCTTCCTTCTATATCCCATATTTACCCTAGAATGGATCCAGATAGACTTCTGTGTCTGGTCATGGCACTTCATTGTTACGTAGAATGAACTGCTGCTTTTTGGGGTATGCAAAACTGACATTTTATCCCCTGGCAATCCTCCTCACTTCAAGATCTTTCATCTTCTACCCTTACGAATTGGGTCTGTCTTTTGGTTTGTTTGGCCAACTGTTCCCTTCCTTATTTCTCCTGTACATTGTTCCATGTTTATTCCCATCAGATTAGACATTTCACCTTTTCCCTCGCTTCTCATTTTCATCGTCTGATGGAGAAGATTCTACAATCCGTCATGTGGACTACTCCCAGTATGTTCGCTTCCCTGTATCTAAGTAATATCGTGATTTCCTCTGCCTCAGGGTTTTATCTAGCATCTGTGGCCATTCTTCAGACTTCAGTTCTTGCAACTTTAACTGGTAAGTTTTCTTTATTTTTTCATGGGCTTTTCTCTCCCTTTTTATCACATGGACCCCATTCTGTGGCAAGTGATGCCTGACCAGGTATTTTTTATCCCTAAATCTGCACTGTCAGCCATGTTGACTCTCACTCTCTTGTCCATGGCTTTGCATGCTCACTGTCGAGATGGGGCATTCCACAAGATCGCTTGAGGTTTAATTACCCCGTGATAATTTGCTTCATAAACATGCCCGTTCCTGACCGTACCACCTATGGACTACATTAGTAAAGCAGAAGGGGATTGCTGCCCATCTTTGCCATGTCTTGAGTGAATAACTTGGTATTTTAAAATAAGGCTTCGTGGTCACCCATTGCCCTGTCTACGGTGATGACGTTCCTCTGGGCTCTCCACTACATTGTCACCCTCCTTTCCTTGAGTGGAGTATGGGAGTCCTTTTCAGTTCCAAGCCACTGGAGTGGTCGACATTGGAGGCACCTTCCTGAATGCATTCCAAAAGGAAGAGGTTAGAACCATTCAGTTGAGAGTAGGGTGGTGGTATTCTGCTGGTGTAGATGCGACATGGCCTCCAGAGGAGTTGAGCCATCACCTTGCTGGTTGATGTGGCTTCCTGATCACATTTACTCAACAAAACTGGAGTTGAGCCATCTCCTTACTGGACGACGTGGCCTCCTGACACCATTTATACAACCACTGGAGTCGAGTCATCACCTTCACAGATGATGCAGCCTCCTGCTAACATTTACACAACCAGTAGAGTAGAGCCATCACCTTCTGGTTGACGTGGCCTCCTGATACCTATTACACACTCACTGGACTTGAGCTGTCACCTTCCTGGGTGATGTGGCCTCCTAATACTATTTACAAAACCAAGGAAGTTGAGCCATCACCTTATTGGATGATGTGGCTTCCTAATACACTTTACATAAACACTGGAGTTGAGCCGATTTAGTAGTTTTAATGCTACACTTTTTCAGATACCTATACAAATTATTATTTCGTGATGAATGAAGGATAACTCAAGTGCCTTGCATATAAATTTTCTGACCACCATTACAAGAGGCCCAGACTTATTTTTTAATTTGCTGTTGTTATGGATTACAGTGAAGGTTGGTATTCTGTAAAACCAGTCTAACTCATTAAAAGTAGTGAATTGAATGAGAAACAGGGATTCTCATTTCGTTTTCAATGAAAATAAAAATTTCTGCTTGAAAGAGGGAGAAGTACATTATTCATTACTTAGAATGTTTTGTTAGTTGTTTTTTTATTTTCTCTAGTTGTCATTGACTTATGTATGAATATAAGCCAAATAAGCTTATAATTAAAATTTTTCTTACCAAGATGTTTATGTTTATTGGTAAATCTTTTAACACCAATTTATTTTTCCAAAAATTTCCAGACATTTCTTGAACTTTGACATAGTCCATCCAACATGCCATTCAAAGGAATTTAGTGAGAATAGATTCAAAGAAACACTAGATAGATGTATAGTAGTAATGTTTAGGAAATTAAAAATGTGTGAAAGCTGATGCATATACTGAGATTTGATAGTTTGAATGCTGGGTCAGCACAGTTTACTAAGCATGTTAACATTAAGTGGTTTTTGGAAACTTTACAGTACTACATAACTGAAAGTGATGCCAAAGTGTGACAAACAGTTTTTGTTATGATTAGGAAAACAAGTGCTTGAAATCATTTTTGTAACAATTTCACAGTTATGGTGTGAGTTGCAGTGTGTCAAGGTTTTATATATGTGGGCTGGGATTCTTTTACAGTAGGTTTCTGTGACTTTTTGGGGATAAATTCGAACAATAAACGAACAGCACACAGTCCACATGTTTTAAGATAATATATTCAAAACAAGTTAAACATATGATCAAAAATTTTGTACACAGTTGTATATAAAACTAAACAATTATCTCTTTTGTCAAAAGTCCACACAGGCTGATTGAATTACCTTAGAATTCAATTGACAAGCAAATTATTTTTCTCGACTCTGTTTCTTACTATACAATTTGCGTTAAGTTCACTTACATTACTCCGTGGGTTACCACAGTTGTATCTCAACTTTTAAATACTTGTCTCCTTTTCGTCAAAGTCCACACAGACTGGTTCAATTACTTTAGAACACCCTTTGACAAGACAAATTATCCTCCTTATCTCTGTTAAATTGTGAAACTCACATAAAAATATCACCCATTATGGCTAAACTAACAATCACACAGTTTAACTTCACTTTCACTAACTTCACTTTTCTGACATTATTTGTTTTTTTACTCACTTGGCACCTATCGCCTATATTTATACATTGCCCACCTTAGGCCTCAAATTTCTGCAAACTAGAAGGCAGTATGATGTAACAATACTTACATAGTGAGGTTAGAGGTTTCGAGAAAGATGATGTCAACAATACTACAACAGTTGAACTACACACACAGTGTACAACTCTTACCAAGTTACATAACGAAATTTGTCAAAACCATTACTCTTAAAATAATGAACTTTTAACACAGTTGTTATGAAACTAAATATTCATTAAATATCAAATCACTAAATAAACTAGTTAATTATTAAGCTAAACAGTCTTGTATATCCAACATAATGCATAAGACTTGTGGGGTTATAATTTAATGGTTCCATGCCATGCTTATCAAGAAATCTTAAAAGAACATGTTCCAGAGGTCATAATGATGTTTTTATTGTTGTTTTGTTCTGTCAACAATCCAGTCTATTATTTTAGCAGGATCATACTTTTTTTGTGTTAGAACATTTACAAGGCATACATGATTTCAGAATAGCAGTATAAATATGTTGGAATAGCCTACCCACATCCCAGGTCTTAACCCAGTGGAATATCTTTCTGACTATCTTGAAAGGTTTATTCAATTTTCCCAGTTGTCAGATACTGGAACAATATTTGAACCATGTTTCACAGAAAAGCAGCAGTGTATTAGGACAGTGATCCATAGCATATTCTTATAACTAAAGGGTGGTGCATTTATAATTTTCAAACATGCAATTTGATAACAAACTTATTTTTATCAAAATAATTTGTGATGATAATGATTAAGCATTTTGTAATTGTTAATAGTTAGCATACAATAAACTTAAGTAAAAAGTTGTTATATTAATTTCTGAAACTATATACTTCATATTTCCTACAGTATTCCACTGCTTGTTGAAGTTGTTCAAAAGGATCAAATGGAGAGTAAGAATGACCAGTCTGTAGGCACAGCAAGGATTTCTCTTCGTGCTGTTCTTGATTCATCTGCATCCACATTTATAGTAAGTTCATTTAATGAACAACAGCATAAAAAATTTTATAGTCGGGGTTTAAACGATGAAAATTTTGCTAAACCTGTAACAGTATACATCTGTTTATACTTAGATTTATTGTTTTATTGCATTTTGAACTGTGTCTAACTAATATTCATACCATATAAGTTGTAAATTACTTGCCAAATGGATAACTCACGTTACACTATCAAATTACGTAATGCACAAGCTACTCACTAGTTGCTCGTGAGTGTACCTATGAAAATTTTATTATTTTTATTCTCTGCTTTACCCTATCACACCTAAAATGTTCTTGGTTTTGCATTTTAGTTACTTTTATAATAATAAATAAAGAATACAAATAAAAAAAAGGAAATACGGTACTTGCCTGGGTCTTTTTGGCTGTCGACTGTCAATGACAATTAACCTTACTTTTTTATACTAATGGTACCACTGCACTAAGTAATTTTGATTTAATTAAATACGACACCAAAATACACAGAATAATAACACACATAAAGCAGATAATGTCCCTTAACTATCACAGTTTTCTTCTGGCTTTTTAACTATGCAACAAGAGCCTTTAAAAATTCAGCTATGCTTACCGACGTGTTTCCAATGGGAATAAAGTTTGAACTAGAAGTGAAATACACAATTCTCTGTACAGAAAATAATTTAGTATATTAAATGGTGTACTTAAGTGTTTTACACTCACAAAAAAGAAACCTATCATTCTATAGGTAATTGAAGAACTTGTAGCACTCTGCCACAATTTAATTCTTTGTATTGTTAGCTGACATTGGGCAGCTGGTACATAATTGAATAGAGTTGTTTAAACATTTGTTTAACAATAAGTAAAAACTTGGAATGGTCTATTCTTTCATTAGGGGTGTGTCTATGAGCCAGACTAGTTTCGGAGAATTCCACTCCTCATCAGTGAACAAATGTTTAAAGAACTCTATTCAGTAATGTAGTATATTAATTTATATGATGGATTAAGAACTTGGTTTTCTGTTGGTTATAAATGTCTTAATATTAAATATCAGAGAGAACTATTGGCAATTTCTGAAAGAGAGGATGTGAAAGGTTAGCATGGTAAAAGGGTTCTAATTTTCTATTTTATGGCTCTGTAATCAAATAAGATTGAAATCTATGAAAATTGTGCTCTGCCTGAGTGATTACAATATTATAATGAGTAATTTATGTTAAATTTGTATTTGTTGGAAGGTTGGTTAATATATTAGAGAAGAGGAGATACCTAAAGAGCAAATGTCACAATTCTCATACTAAGGGAAATTCATGATATTTTAAATGGCCATATGAAATTATGAACTTAAAACTTACATAATGTTAAAATTTGGATTATTAGCTATGTTTTTATACCAAACTTATTCATATAAAATTTATTCATGATGAGAAAGTTGTTTCATTAAATTTTGAATGTAACTCAGTAAAACCTTATGACATGCGTCAAAAAAGATGCCCGTAGTAAAAGAGTTAATGTGCTGTGTAAAAGACTTTATGTCAAATGTTTCATTTTGTGTATTATAATTATTTCTTACATTTTAAAGGACTTTTTTATTAATTTTGTGAAAAAAGGATTATTTCTTTGTTTTTTTTAATGTATGACTAAGTTTTTTGTTTCATCTTAAATTCTGATTTCTGATTACTTTGTAGTGTGGTACCATTAGTTCATATGCTCATAAGAAAAAGTAAAATACCTCTATATATATATATATATATATACGCTGGTGTAAAAATATCCTCTAGTACTGTACTATTATGAAGGTATTCCTTTTTTTTTTCTTTGTTAGTTATGTTTATTTTATTTTTTTAAATTGTCTTATAAAATCAAGAACTTAAAACTTGTATAGTATTAAAATTTGATTATTATCTATGTTTTTATGCTAAATGTATTCATATACCATGCTAAGAAAGTAGTTTAATTAAATTTTCAACATAACTCACTAAAAACCTCATGACATGCACAGAAAAAGATGTGAAAGTGTTAAAAAGGTAGGAAATGGTGGCCACCATCATAAACACACATTAACAAGAAACCATGCTGTATTGAAAGTTTTGCATAGTTTTAATTATGTTAATGCGCATGCACAATACTTATTATTATAACAATAATAATAGTATAAAATAGCATCATGTTTGTTTTAAGTATGGTAGTACTATATATATGCACCCAAAACCTACTGCATAAAACATTCTGTAACTATTATTTCTGGTGCTAATTTGTTTTATTGAATTGCAGAAAAACAAACTACTAGTTGAAATAGTTTGAAACTTGAGATTAAACTTCTGTAGGTTATGTAGTTTCTGCAAATATAATATTTTTGTATTTGATATTTGTATGAACTTGCAGTTTTGAAAGAAAGTTTGACATTCATTTCACTGTGAGTATTTTTTTTTAGAAACAATTAAAAATGCTTACCCTTGTTATAGATTCCAAATACTAATTTCTATGTTTTCCTGTATGCATTCTTTTGAATGTTTCCTATAAAGTTTTAGTTTATAAAACTAAATTTTGTTTGTTTTGATACAAAACACACTGAAAGTTTCTCTGTGTTTATGATTACTGGCATACAATACAAATATTTTTTTTCTGTCATGCTAATTTTTGAAGCAAAATGACTTCATGAGGTTGGACAGAAAATATATTGTGAAGCAAGTCTGAAATGTGTTATTTTGACTGTGTTTGAATAATTAAAGAGACTGGAATCAATGTATTACCAAATGAAACAGTTTTTATTCAGATAATAAACAGAATAAAAAGTGTGTATTGACAAAGGATAATGCTTTTACAGGAGAGCTCATTATGTTTATTTAAGAAATTGTTCAAAGTGAAAAAACAGAGCATTATATAAAGAAAACCACAGTACTAGCTTCTCAGTATATATGTGCTACCCCCTTGACTTTTGATCATTCCCATTGCAAAATATGGGAGCTTATATTCTCGAGGGGACACGTGGCTCGCCAGTGGAAAAGATTCCTGTCTACTTTCACATAGTGTATGTACAAATTTACAGGAATATTTCTGATATGAAGACAAAAGTGAATGACCCAGAACATTAGGTAGGTATGGTGAAAGAAACTTAGTCACTTTCTTGACTGATGTTCTGTATTACATGAAATAAACTTACATATATGAACATTTTGAGACATTCTATATTAAAGTAGAGGAGTAGCAGACACATGGTATGTCTTGCATAGCACACTTCATTTTACCTTCAGGTCGTTCCTAATTGTAGAATTTAAAATTTATCCACACATTGTTCAGGAACTCATTATAATTTTTCCTCACTCATGTAAATATTCAGTAACATGGCTGACAAAATCTTTTAAAAATGATTAACCATCTGTATATATGATTGGTCAACTTGAGCAGCCTTGTAACCACCATGTAGTCATGAAACTAAATATACTATGACTCTAAAGGTATTAATTATATCTTCACAAAATTTGGCAAATGTTTAGTTAAATATATAAGTGTTGTATACAAAAATTAATTTTTTATTGAAATATTTATACTAAATATTTGTTTGTAAATTTGCTAAACCTCTGAGTGAAAGGTAATTTTCATGTTATAAATAAACACCCAGACCAACCTAGGGTAAATACAATACTTTATAGTAAAACACATATACTGAAATACTTGAGGTCATCCTGGTATTTTTCAAAGATATTTGTGCCAATTTTCTTGCTAATCCTGTATAGGTCACATGTAGTATCACTTACCCAATTTGCATGTGTATCTAGCTGACAAGCATTTACATGTGAGGTCTCTTGTTAGCAATGAGTCTTTTTCTCTTCATTTATTTGGTCTGATGGCCTCCTTGCATGAGTGTCTCAACACCAATTTTCCCTTTTACATAATATTACAAAAGTGGCAGCAAAACAGCTTTGTCACTACGTTTTACTGTTATATCCTTTCACATTTTTTTCTCATCTGAATGGCATGGAGTATCATCTGGGTGTTTGCCTCTTCTTGTGTGGGGAAAATTATCATCTACTTCCCTAACTTTTGTTGGTATATTTTCTTTCACAACTTCACTCTTGCCATAATGTCATTCTAGTACAACACATTTGTGCATAGGAATGCTTTCCTTTTCATGTTCCTACAGGTGTGATGACACAAAGTTAATCAATTCTGACGTATTTCCAAAGTTAGATAGCAGTTTGGAACAATACATGATGACAATGTCTTGAATTCTAAATATCTTATTTTTTCTGTTGTAATGGCCAACCATAACTGTAAAAGACTGATGACACTTATTCTGTTGACAATGGTCAATAAGTGTTTTGCTTGAAAAGTTGATATTTCAGTTTTTGGATAAGGGACATCTCATTACTTATGTATTCTGTTTTCCAGAGTGCTTGAAAAGTTGATCTTTCAGGTTTTGAATAAGGGACATCTCATTACTTATGTATTCTATTTTTCAGAGTGCTTTAAAAGTTGATCTTTCAGGTTTTGAATAAGGGACATCCCATTACTTATGTATTCTGTTTTCCAGAGTGCTTGAAAAGTTGATCTTTCAGGTTTTGAATAAGGGACATCCCATCACTTATGTATTCTATTTTCCAAAGTACATTTTTTTGCTTGGATATCTTAAAGTTCCTCACATCCAGATTCTACCATTTGGCCAGTTCAGATTTGACTATCTTGTGAATTGTTCCATCATCACTGAAAAGATATGATAAAAGTCTTGCCAGTTCATGTTTTAGAATCTCTTCTGATTTTACATTTTTTTTAGTTAAAATCACAACAAAGCATCAGAACAAAACTTCTCAATCTGTCTTTAGCTGCTGTGCTTAATTTGTCATTGTTTTTGTATAATGGTCAACTTTTGAGAAATTTACAAATCTATAATTCTCTGATATGTATATTTGTATAAGTTACTATGATTCACACTGAATTATTTACACCTCGTACCAGATCCTTTTCAGTATCAGGTGATGCTACAATTCTTGTAGTGGTATTGATCAATCCTTTTTTTGAA